AAAAATAGCTCTTAAATAGGAACAACCTCACTCAAAAAAAAAAAAGAGAAATGTAAATCAGGCCATAATGAGCTCCATTTAGCCTCCACCAAGTTGGCAAAACTCCAAAATCTTGACAGCAGAACAGTCTGCTGGCAAGGCGATGGAGAACAAGCACTCTCATGCACTGCTAGTGGGAGGGTAATTGGAACGACCCGTTTGGGAACAATCCCACAGAGAGAACAATTTCCCCATATCAAAAACACAGACTCATTTGCATTGAGCCAGCAAACCTTTCTGAGAATTTATCCCATGAACATACTTGCTCATATATGTGGCAGCAATAGTCACATTTACATGTAGCCAGGTACTATTCTATAGTAACTCTATAGTGACTCATTTATCCCTCACAAAAAATGCTTTAAGATGGGGATGTATTAGCTCCCTTTTACAGATGATGAAACTGAAGCACAGAGAGGTTAAGTAACATGCCCAAAGTCACACTGTGCAGGAGCCAAAAAAATGATTCATGGACAAGGTTATTGATTGCAGTAAACTTGTCAGAATAAAAGCATGGCACAATCCAGGTGTCCGTTGATGGGGGGAATGATAAAATAAATGATCCCCCAGTTCAGCAATGAAACCGAAGCAGTTTAAAGTAATTGTTTAGATTAAGTGTCAAGAGTAAGGATCCCGGACCAGGCTGCCTGGGTTCAAATCCCCAACTCTGCCACTTTCAAGTTGGGTGCCCTGGAGCCTCAGTCAAACGAGATGAAAAATGGGAATAACAATATTATCTACCTCATAGGTTGTTATGGGGATTAAATGAATTAATGTATAGAAAGTGTTTAACCAGGGATCAGTGTGAACTTTTTCTACAAACGTCTGGAGAGTAAATACAATACCTTCCGCTCCTCAGTCCAGAGTCTCTGTCACAACTATTCAACTCTATAGTTGTAGCTGGAAATCACCCATAGACAGTACATAAACGAATGGGTGCGGCTGTGTGTAAATAAAACTTTATTTGTAAAAACCAGATTCAGCCCTCTGAATGTAGTTTGCTGTCCTCTGGTTTAGACTAATGCCTGGCACATAGCTAGCACAATATAAATGGTTTGTTAAATAAATGAACTATCTGGGATACCACGTAGCCATTTTTGAAAAGGAATGAGGACAATCTCTATGTATTGATCTGGGAAAATTCCCAAGATGATTATTGAAATGAGGAAAGCAGGGTATAAAGCAGTAGGTGGTATGTGCCATCTTTTGTGTTAAGAGAGGAGTGTAGCAAATAAGAACCTAAATTCCTATTTGCTTATGTTTGCATAAAGAAATTCTAGATAGACATATAGTCGACTTAAAAAAAAAGTAGTTATTTACGGGGGAAAAGTAGGAACTGGGTATCTGAGGGGCAGGACTAGAAGTTAAAATTTTCCTTGTACTCCTTTTTATACATTTTAATACTTGAATGATATGACAGTATTATTTAATCAAATGGTTAAATAATTTAAAGATTCTATTGGGCTCTCTGTCCCCTGGCACACAGTTTCTTGATCTCAGCACTGTTGACATTTGAGGCAGGATAATTCTCTGTTGTGTGTGACATTTGTAGGGTGTTGAGCGGCACCCTGGCCTCTATCCACTAGATGCCAGTAGCATCCCCCGGATTTAACAACCAGATACTGCCTCCAGACACTGCCAAACATCCAGATGTTGCCAAATTGCCCCAGTTGACAGCTACGACCCTAACCCAACCCCTACCTGCCGTGTTATGCTGCCCACCCTTCCACTACCCCACATCCTTCCTACAAAGACTTTTTAGGGAGGGTTTACCAGGTATCAGACATTGTGCTAAGCAGCACTGAAATACCATAAGAATCCACCAAAAACGGTGCCATTTTTATCTGTAATTCACAGATGGGGAAAGTAAGGCTCAGGGAGGTGATGCCAGGAAGTGACAGCATCAGCATTTGAACCTAGGTCTGGCTCCTCCAAGCCACTGCCCCGGGGTCGACTCTCCTGTTCTAACCTCCCATCCTCTCCTTCCCCTGCCTCCACCAGTAGCACTAGCATTCACTGAGCTGGGGACCTTGACATCATCTTGGCCCCAGTGCCAGCCCACCCCACCCCCAAGCCTAATCAGCTCCCACGTTCTGGAGGACCTTTCCCACAATGACTGTCACATTCGTCCCTTCCTCTCCACTGCCTTGACCTTAAAGTTTCATTTCTGCAACCCAGCATTTGGAGCTCCAGAGGGCAGTGGAAAAGAGCTGGAGTGTCTGGTTGTCACTGTAGCTGTCTATGATAGTATCATCCTCTCTCTCTGGGCCTCTGGTCTGAGGGACCATCCAACTTGAAGACTCCCTCCAATCTGACCTCATCCATGAAACATTTCCACCAGCCAGGCCACTCACTGCCCTGCAGTACAGCATAGTCTATGTGGTCACTGACCCATTCCCACCCCAGGGCCTTTGCACTGGCCGTACTCCCTGCCAGGAGCACTGTTTCCCCAGATCCATGTAGCTCATTCCCTCATTTCCCCAGGTCTCTGCTCAAATGTCATCTTATCAGTGAAGCCTCCTGGACCCCTATTCAAATGTGTGACCCCCATACACCTGAGCCCCTTTTCCTGCTTTGTTTTCTCCAGAGCCCATACCACCTCCTGACATTTGCTCACTGTCGGTCTTCTCCCACTAGAATGCAGGCTCCATGACAGCAGGGGTTTGTGTGTCTTGTTCCCACTGTCTTGACACCAAGAAGAGGTCTGGCATACATTGTAATTGTTGATGGATGGATGGATGGATGGATGGATGGATGGATGGATGGATGGACAGATGAATGGATGTATGTATGCTTAAATATGCCTTCACACTCTCTTCCCTGGAAACTGAGCAAAAGCAGAGGAACTATGAAAAGGAAATGAGAGAAACTGGAACGCATCCTAATTCCATCCTGATTCCAGCCTCCACACCTTTATTTATGCTTCAGACCCTCTACCCACTTTCCCTCGCAGGTCAAGAGAAACCTCCCTTTTCTCTCTCTGCCCTTCCACATGCCAGGGGCAGTTCATGGCCCCAGTTTACATCTGCTGACAGACAGGGACTTGCAAACCTAGAGAGGCTGTTCTTGTGGCACCTCCCTCTGGCTCAACGTGACTACCTTTTAGCTTCCCCACTTGAACAGGGCACGAGGCTGAGTTTTGAAGGGAGGCAAAATGGGCAGGGGCAGGAAGGCACAGAGCTCCCAGGTAGGGAGGATCAGGGAAGACTCTTGCCCAGCCTGGGGTCTGACACAGCCCCAGGTGCAGGGAGTCAGAACAATGAGAAAGCCTCTACTCACTGTTCAAAACCCAGCACGAATGTCCCCTCTTGCAGAAAGCCTGACTCCCCCAGGCAATGTCTTGCCTTTGCTCCAGGACTTCCAGCCCAGAAGTTTGTCCCTCTACCCCAGTCCTGACAAGGGGCTGTGAGTTCCTGGTTCTATCTCCCCAAGACTGGGAGCGCCTTGAGAGCCAGGCCTGGGCCTGGGCCCTTGGCATTGCCCAGAAGAAAGAAGCAGGATGGTCCTTGGAGTCTGGCAGCTGCCCTCCTAGAGATTAATGCCACACCCCTTGTCTTTTTATCAGAGAACCAGCTTTAGGCGAGATGTGTGGAGAGGTGGGAGTTCGTCCTTAATTCTATCCACTTTCCCATTAGCTGGTATTGAAGCCTCACTGGGAACCTTGCCTCCCTGCAGATCTGGGGCCTAGCAGGTCCGACATATGGCTACTTCCTCATGTGCTGGAAGCCAGAAGGAGACAAGCAAATGTAGGCAAATTCAGGATGGCCTATGGCCAGAGCGCTGACCAAGGGGGGAGAGTGTCTGTGGGGCTCCCCGATCAAGAAGCTCTGCCTGGCCTAGGAAGGGTGGGCCACCCTTCCACTCATGGCCCTCTCCCCAAGAAATGCACCCAGGGACCCCATGGACCCCACTGTCTGATCAGTCACTTCCCCTCCCCCATCTGCACATGGCACCTCAGACCAGAGAGCAGGCAGTGGATGTTCCCGCTGCCCTGCGAGCCATCCCAGAGAGCTCCCCCGCACCAGCCCACAGCTCCTCCGGACAAGGCTTTCATCCAGGCACAGGGCCTGAGGACCTAACCTTGTCCTCTCAGACCCCCATGGCAGGCTGGGCACCCCCAAGCCCCACCCAGATGCATACACCACTTCCACCCAGCACCCAGGCAGCCATAGGGAACCAGAGGAGGTGCTACAGAGAGCATCCAGTCCTGTTACCTCCCCCACCCCAACCACATTCAAATGGGGACTTGAATGTATTTCCTGAGCCGGGGGCGGTGACAGTCAAATCCACCTCCTTCTGGACCCTTTGCCCTTACAGCAATCCCTACCAAGAAAGGGCAGCTATTTCTAGGCTCCCAAACCCCAGGTCCAGCCTCAACATGTCCCCGAGGATGGAGGGAGCTAGGAAGAGGAGAACCCTGGGGTGCAGTCCCTCACCAGCCCCATGCTGCCCCAGGCCCAGGCAGGAAGCCAAAGGGAAGATGTGAGGGGAAGGAAGGGGCCCCTGGCACGGAGGAGGAGACACATGTGGGGAAGAAGGTGGAGAAAGTCCCTCCCCCATGGCCAGAATCTGGGGATATGGGGTCAAAGAAAACCTCAAGCGCCCTGTTGGCCACCCAGAGGGTTTCTAGGCACCACGTCAAGACTCCCAGACGTTGGCATCTGGGGGCTTGAACCCCAGTGGAGTTCAGCCTGGGGCTTGGGAGCCGTTAACCCCCAGCTTGTCAGTTCTCAGCCTACATTTGGACTCACTCGGGGCCTGTGAATGCATTCCTGTTAACCTGAGGTGGGTCACCCCAGAATCTCAGTATTACCACTCACATCCCTCCTGCCCCCATGCGGGCCTCGGAGTTGGGCGCACATACCCCTCTACATTGCCGGCCCACAGGTAGAGTGCACTAACCCAGCTTGGAATGTCCTCAGTTCCAACCCTCCGGCCCGCCAGCCCGTGGGGAGGTTCACCTGGGACATCTGGGGGCGCAGGTTGACCTCGCGTAAGTTGATGGCGTGGGGCAGCAGGTTGTTAAGCAGCTGGCAGAGAAGGACCCCATCTCGAAGGGCCTGCGCCAGCTCGCACACCTGGGCCCCCTCCCAGGTCACACGGTGGCTGGGAGGCAGCACCCGGCACTGAATCAGCCAGTGCGTACACTGGCGCCACAGCTCCATGGCTGCTGCCTTCCCCCGCCGGCCCGCGCGCCCTCGCGGCCTCCGCCACCCGTCTGCCTGTGCTACTAAGCTACCACTTCCTCTTCTTTGCCTGTAACTGTCGCCCGGAGAGGGGGTGGAGTAGGAGGAGCCGTGTGTGGGGGGGAGCACCTGCAGCCCAGCCCCGCCCCTTCCACGCGGGACTTCTCTTTCCTCCACCAACACAACACCTGGGCACCTGGGAAGGGGAGGGACGGCCGGTGGAGTCAGGCTAACTAGACTGAAACCATCTGCCTTCCTCCACATCTAACTCTTGAGCTGTAACACCTGACAGTACTAAAAATCCGCCCTCTGTGCACCCCTCCCTTCTCTGCCTCCTCCCTGGTCCAGCCCCAACATCACCAGCCAGAACCAGCGCAGTCTCCTCCACCCTGGTCCCCTCGCTCCCGCCCTCCCTCCACAGTCTATCCTCCCCACAGCAGCCAGAGGGAGCCTGTGAGCACCTGAATCAAGTCAAGAATGTCCCTCCTCTTGTTACATACCTTCCTCATTGGGGTAAAAGTCCTTCCTGCAGCCCACAAGACCCTATATGACTTGCCCTCTCCTCCCCTCCTTGCATTCACCTCCTCCACTCCCCCTTGGCTCACTCGCTTCAGTCACACGGCCTCCTGCTGTTTCTCCAACTGGCCAGGCCAGTCCTGCCCCAAGGCCTTTGCACATGCCCTTCCTCTGCCTTAGGCAACTTCAAGGCTAGCTCCCTCACCACCTACAGGTCTTTGCTCAATGTCACCTTCCCATGAAGTCTTCTCAAATCACAGCCTTTCCCCCCACCCTATCCCACTTCCCTACTTTAAGCCCTGATCATCATCAAACCTGATATTTAATTATACTTATTTCTTTATTGTCTATTTAGAAATGTGTGTCTCTTATGTACTGCTGGAACACCCCTCTCAGCACATATACATGCTCCATAAGTATTTGTCTAATGAATGCATGAATTAATAAATAAACAGACAAATGGTTAAAAGCTCTATTGGCTCTACCTCTGACATTTATCCCAAATCTATGCATTTATCCCCCATAGCCCTGGCCACCACCATCTGCCTCCTTATAGACTTCGCTAATGTCGTCCGTTAATTCATTCGTTTGGCAAACATTTACTGTCTTCGTAGCCCTTATCACTACCTGAAATCATCTTTTCTAAGCGCCTCTCGCCCTACCTCCATCCCACTAGGCTGTGAGTAGCTTTTCCTTTCCCTTGATCGCACTTGGTACCCCTTGCATTATCTTTTTTAATTCTCGTAACCACTAGGGGGCGCTAGGCCCCTTCACTGGATGTAACCCATTCCTTCGTACCAAAACTAGGCGGAAGGGGGTCAAGGAAAAGACACTCCCCTCAGCCCCTCCTTAGCCTGGTGTCTTCCACATCGGCGGCAGCGGGGCGGGGGGAGGGAGCCCAGCCTGGAAATTCCCAGCTTTGTGATCCTACAGGCACCACAACATCCTTGGCTCTCTTATGTGTCAATTTCCTCATCTGTAAAATGGGTAACTGTTTAGAATTATAGTAAGGATCAGAGACAGTGGGGCTGCGAAGACGAAAGCGAAGAAGACAGGATGGCCCTTCAGGTCTCCGGGCTTGTATCCCACTCGACCTCACAAACTGGGCCAAATTGGGTACATGGTTTAACTGTCCAATGCCTCAGTTTCTGCATCTGGAAAATGTGAATGGTGAAAAGAGTACCTACCCCACTGAGTGGCCTATGTAAAAATTAAATGCTTTGCAGTAGGTCGAGCAACAGTACAATCCTGGCATACAGTCAGTGTTCAATAAATGTTAGCTGCGACAACTGCTTTCTTTCTTTTTTCTTTCCTTTTCTTCTTTCTTTTTTCCTTCCTTCCTCTCGCCCTCCCTCCTTTTCTCCCTCTCTTCCTACCTTCTTCCCTTCCTTCCTTCCTTCCTTCCTTCCTTCCTTTTTCTTTCCCCTCCATAAACACGGCAGGGCTTTTTGTCTCTTGTTCCAAATTCCCCCACCTTTCTCGTACTTGTCTCCAGACAGAATGATGACCCCGCCAACCTGGGAAACTACCTGAATGTTACCTCCCCATGTCTCCCCAGAGTCTAGCTCAACTCCATCGTGCTGTCACTGGGGGAAGCTGTAGTGTTTCCCCGCACCTCTCTCCACAAAACCCGACACTCAGCTGGGGTTCCATTCCCGGAAACCCAAGGGGGCAGTCTGGAGGAAGCGCACCCCTGTACATCACAGCTGCCGCCACCCCCTGCCGAACGAGAAAGCCCATCGGGGCCGCCCCGCCCCTGCCGGGAACCCTGGGGAGCGAGAAGAGGGACACCCCCCCTTACGCGCCCCAAATTGCCAAGCCCGAAGGGAATGGAGGGGCCAAATTTTAAGAAGGGGTCTTCGTAGGGGGACTGGGAAGTGAGTGGGCGTGGCCACTCTGAGGAGGGCGGGGCGACGTCCTAAGGGGACGGGCCCACTTAAAGGGACGAACGGAGTTTCCCAAAGGGGCGTGTTCTATGAAGAAGGAGGTTGTATCTAAAGAGGGCGTGGTTAGCGCAAAGACTGGTTCTAAGAGGGCGAAGCGGAAACAAGAGGGCGGGGTAAAAGCCTGGGCGGCAACAGTTGGAGGCGGGGTCTTAAGGGCGGGCCAGGTGATTGGGCACGGTTCCCACCCGGCGCTGCCGGAGAAGGCAAGACTTGGCTAGGATTGGGAGGGAGCGGCCCGGAGCAGCACAGCCTCAGGCTTTCGTCCGGCACCAGCTTCTTGGGAGCTCCGCAGACTCAGGCCCAGGTGAGTGAGGGACCCCAGGGGGATCCAGGACCAGGGGATTTTGGGGTATGGAGTCCTCCCTTTTGCAGGTGGGGCCACCGGCTCGCAGGGAGGATCTGGGTGTGTCTGTCCACATGCATCTGCGAATACAGGAGGGGTCACCGAGTGCCTGATTGGGTCGCTGTGCATCACGCCTGTCCGTGTACCTGGGCATGCTCCTCTAAGCGTGCTTCCTGTGCAACACGGAGAGCCTCCCTGCTTCCACTTTTGCCTGACCGATCATTTTAAACCACAAACTAGATCGTGCCCCTCCATCATTTAAAACCTTTCCATAGCACCCATTCCATCCAACTGAGATGAAAAATTGGGGTCCACCAGTTCCTGCATGTTGTCATCTCTGCAGACCTCATTGCTCTCCACTTAGCTCTTTGCTCACTGCATTCCAGCCACGCTGGCCTCCTTGATGATGTCAAATGTAAAAAGCAAGCTCCATTTCACCTCTAGCACTTTGCACTTGTAACCACTGTCACCTGGACTGCTGTTTTTCCAAATTTTTGCATAGCTGCCTCCTTCCCAGGAACTTCCTGAGGTCTCAGTTCCAATGTCACCTTCTGGGAGAGAACTTCCTGACTAGGCTATTTAAAGTAGCCTGCCTCCTCCAGCCATCTTTATCACATCTCCCTGTTTTACCACCTTCATGATTACTCTAAGAATTTATTCTTGTTTTATTGGGTGTCTTGTCCACCGGACAGCACAGGGCCGGTCTCTTTCATTACTGTATCTCCAGGGTCTAGAACAGCACACAGTAAGTGCTCAACCAATCCATGTTTGTTCAGTGTCAAGTTTGAGTCCCCATGTCTATCTGTGTCCATGTGTTTATGTGTAGGTGGCTGCCCCCTGCAATGTGTACACTTGTATATGGTCTCTATGTCATGAATATCTCTTTCTTCCTTTCTCCGTGCTTACCCCTAACCCTTCCTCTCTCCTCTGCCCAAATATCCAGAAATTATTCTAAAAGACACAGGGCAGGAGGACGACTTAGCCTGTGGCTGACCTGTGCCCACTCTGAGCTCCACCTGCAACTAATCAGTTTTGTCAGTGGCCCACCTCAATGCCCACTAACGGGGCGCATGAGACAGAGGAACTTGGAGTTGAGGGACTCTTAAGAGAAGGCCTGGCCTGGCCCAGGTGACAAACAGGAAGTGCACAGGCATCCAGGAGACACACCTGACGTTCAGGTATGCAACGCCTGGAGCCAGCTCCAGCCCAGCTCCCCGCCCCTAAAGCCACCTGGGACTGGTCTGGGAACTTCCTGCCCTTTTCAGGCCCTCAGCTAGGCTGACTCAGAATGTAAGAATCCTGGTACTATTTTCCTGCAGACTCTGGCCAGGCTCTGGCCAGGCCCAGAAGACCTTGAGGGGTGGGGGCAATGAGAAACAGACTCCCTGCTTCCCTCCTATCCGGGGTGGGTTTTCTCCACCGAACACTTGAGACAGGCCTGCTCGATGATCAAGGGGGTCCCAAAGTGTCTGAGACCTAAATTTGACCATGATAATAATAACAACGAAATGTATCGGCTCCAAAATTGTGTTTGCTGACATTTCTATAAAAATGTGACCTTTCAACATCCTTAAATATGGTTACATTGGAAAGCCATGTATAGGTTAGATTTTATTACATCCTAAGAATCCTTGCATGTGTACATAGATTGCTAAGAAGCTATGGACATTAGTAAATTAAATTACCTTCGGCCTGAAATATTCTTTCATCCTGAGAACCACCCAGCTCGCTCCCTCGAAACCCTTCCAGTCATTACTGACTGAGACCTTTCCAGGCCACTGGATGGACGATCTTAACGCCACAGCTTGAATCTTCATATCCCATCCCTGGATACATGTTCCACTTAGCTTCCTCTGGCCTATCTACTTCCTCATCTACTCATTTATTTTCTTAATCACGGTCTCCCCCACTAGACCTGCAGGGTCTCTAGCACCTAGAAGGGCTCCTGGCACACATGGGTGCCATGTAAATATTGGTTTAGTAATATTTGTAATTAGTAATTAAATTTCTACAACACATAGCATTATGTCATCTGCATAAAGTGCCATTACATTTGAGAGCAGTGCATATGTCTTCTCCCTTTGCAAGAATCCCGGTGAATACATGGTTGTTTCCACGAAGTCACGGCCAATTCTAAATTAAAGTTACTCATACCCCAATTATAAGTACATATGTGTGTGTGTGTGTGTGTGTGTTGTGTTGTGTCAACACGCACATATATGTGGTTGACCCTTGAACAAACATGGGCTTAAACTGTGCTGGTCTACTTTTATACACAGATTTTTTTCAATAGTATGTACAGTACTATCAATGTATCTTCTCTTTCTTATGATTTTCTTAATAACATTTCCTTTTCTCTAGCTTACTTTACTGAAAGAATACAGTATACAATACACAGAACGTACAAAATATGTGTTCGACTGTTTATATGATCGGTAAGGCTTCCAGTCAACCATAGGGTATTAGTAGTTAAGTTTGGGAGGAGTCAAAGGTTACACACAGAATTTCAAATGTATGGGGGTCAGTGCCCCTCACCCCTGTGTTGTTCAAGGGTCAACTGTAATCTGGCATATATCTATATCTATATGTCTGCCATATATATAAAATCTGATTATAAATAACTTGTTTAATTTAGAATATAATATATATTTATATAATATATGCATAAATATATAGAGAGTTGCATTTGAAGGTTTGATAAGATGTGGGCTGCTGTCTCCAAAACTAAAAGGAACATGGAAGGACTGACACAAGCACTCAGGAAGCAGGAATAATTATTCCAATTTTACAGATGTGGAAGACTGAGGCCTGTTGAAAGTACAGAGTGTAGCTCAGCACCCACTGCCTTCAAAAGCTCCATGCAGGTGCCACAGGATGGAGAGGACTTTGCCAGCCAACCCTGGTACCACGGCCCCCTGCCCCGCCAGGTACCTCCCCCTGCAGGGCCTCAGCACCATCTGATAGGGAGCCTTTCCCACCCTTGACCTGCTGGGGACTCCTGGGTGCTGGGTGAGGAGTTTAGGGTTAAGGTCTATTGGAAGGGGTAGCTGGGGGACTGGGGACTGTCTTGGGACTTGGTTGTCATGGCATGTAACTACTTATGTTTAAATTATTACTTTCTTTGAGATGGTGCTGAGGATGGTAACAGAGATGGAGGAAGGTCCTAGCCCCCTAGAAGTACCCCTTGGGTTCTGCTTCTCTCTCTCTCTCTCTCTCTCTCTCTCTCTCTCTCTCTCTCTCTCTCTCTCTCT